GGTTCTTCTGCAGCTCGCAGAACCCGAGCTGCAGAACCCAGATCTGGGTTCTGCTGCCTGGGAGAAAAAATGAAAAAAAAAAAAGAGGAAGAAGGGAAGGTCGGGTTCTGCTCGGGAAAAAAAAAAGGAAGAAAGTGGAAAGGGTAAATTTGTAATTACACTTTTAAAATTTTTTGGTATTTTTATTAGTAAGCCTTTTTTTACTACTATGTCTTAAAATTGTATGCAGAAACTTCATTCCCTTAAACATTCAAGAGATAAAAGGCTAACCTTGCGATATATCTTTTCTATGTGCATTGAAGACTCCGAACTCCAGGCTCCTTGCAATAATTCTCTATTAGTTCACGAAGAGCAACATCTGTCACTAAAACCTGAACAAAAATATAAAAACAGTGTAACGATCCAGTTCACTACTGATATTATCTGCTTTAGCCTACTATTTTACAAATAGATTAAAGAATATATAGTTTGTGGAAAACACCAGTGAATGGGACTGACAACGGAGGGGTCAGTATATATTTTTTTAGGATGATACCTGGTGTTCAGGCTTGATGCCACATTGTTTACGTATAAATTTCTCTAGATGGTTTATGGCGATGTGCATCTTCTCATCGGTGGTATACCCAGTAATGGCAATAACCTCCATTCTGTCCAAGAGAGGAGCTGGTATATTAATTGTCTATATTATTTACCGTGCAGACAAACAGCACCCACGATTGAACCAGAACATTTTTAACTAATTCCTTACACTGCCTTGCAATTCTAATTCAGAAGTAAACTAGCAGAAAAATTTTATATAATACCTTTGATAGATCCATTGGAACACCAAGATAGTGGTCTACAAAATTAGCATTTTGCACAGGATCAAGGAGCTCTAACAACGCGCTTGCTGGATCACCACGCCCCTTTCCCAGCTTTGATCAACATGATACATATAAACACTCAAGAGTCAACAATATATTCGAAAAGAAAACTGAACAATTGAAATTGAAAAAAGTAGTGAGAGCAAGACAATATATATATCTTGTCTATCTCATCAATCAGGACAATAGGATTAGATGTCCCTGCATTTTTCCAGCACTGCACCATCTTCCCCGGCATAGAACCAGCATAGGTTCGACCATGCCCCTGGACAAAGATTAGGAGAACAAAAGAAATTAACATACATACATGAAGCTCGGAGCTAAATACAGACACTGAACCAAGGAATCTCAAGAGTACATATATATATACCTTGATTTCTGAAACGTCATATAATCCTCCAACAGAAAACCTGAAGAACTTACGGTTCAAAGCACGCGCAAAGGAACGACCAATGCTAGTTTTGCCCACTCCAGGTGAACCATTGAGACAAATAATTTTTCCTGTGATCATTAGTAACACCACTTTCATATGAATTCAACTTCAAAACACCAACTTTCAAAGCATATATATATATATATATATATATATATATTACAAATACCTGCAAAGGAACCAGTGAGTTTTCCAACAGCTATAAATTCCAAGATTCTTTCCTTAACATCAGTCAATCCATAATGGTCTTCATCAAGAATATTTTGTGCTCGAATGATATCCAAATTATCTGCACTGCATATATAGAGATATCTCTTTCATAATTAAATGTAAAATTAAGAGAAAATAATCAATCAATCAATCAATCAAATATAAAACAACAAAATTAACCTGTAAATTCCCCAAGGAAGTGAAGTCAGCCAATCCAAGTGGTTATAATGCCCATAAAATTCATGATAATTAGAATGAGCTAACTTTGTGAGAGCCTCTTCTACAGCTTCTAATACTTGATATGGGTATTTATTTCTATTACTTTCAAGTCTTGACCTAAACTTTTTATCTGCATTGAAACAAGCAAGTAGAATGGTGAAGTACTGAATTTATGAATTTATGTAATAGTAAAACAAAAAAAAATCAAATTTATGAAAATTCAGAAATTACAAATACGTAGCAAACCTCTTAGGTTCAACTTCTAGCTAGTGCTAAAATCTGCAAAATCATATATTACAGGAGAAAGAATGAAACTAACCTTCAGCAGAAAGCTTAATTAGTAGCTATACGCATAGTGTGATGTTGTGAAATTTAGAATCTGATTAGTAATTTAGTAGAGAGAGAAAAATTTAAGAAACCTAATATGAGAAAGATGGTGATCGATTAGGGATATATAATGTGGTGGTAGCTGTGGTGAACTGTTACTTGCGGAGAGGGAAACTGTAAGGCCGACTGGGATTAGGATTTGAGCTCTTTGAACCTTTGAAAAAGGGGATTTGAAAAGGGTCTATAAGTACAGTTCTCATCTTTTTTCCTTATGTGAAAAGGCTACCTTCGTATTCTTGTCTTTTTATTTAATTTTTTTTAATTACTCTTGTAGTCTCAAAGTGTATAAATTTTACCCTTTTGATTTAAAATTGTTTGAAATTAATTGTTATTTTTAAATTTTTTAAGGTAAAGTACATTAATATTTTTTTACTCCTTGAACTTTATTGTTATAGCTTGACCCTAATTATGCATTTTTCTCACCTTTAAGAAAGCAACTTAATTAATTAAGAATTTGAGATTCTAAATTAAGAATCTCATATTTTTATGTATCAATCTTACATGAAAAAATCAATCATTAATTATATGTAAAAATCACATGTGTAAGATGTGCTAAAAAAATTATAATATAACAAAAATTTTATTTTATAATTTAAATTGTATAAAATTATAAAATAA